CATGTGGGAAGGTTGGACTTAGAAACCAAAAGAAGAGAGAGAGAGAGCAGCAATTCCAATGCATTTAAAGATGGATTTTAAAAAAAAAAAATCACAACACAAACAAAACATAATCCATATAATACTCCAACAAAGACCTATTTTCATCAAGATTCCACGTTCAATTATTTATTATATAAAACACATTTAATAAGATAAAATGTCACATCTAAATCATAATCATTTTATTTATTTATTTTCTCATAAAAATAAAAAATAAAAAAGTCAAAAAAATTTATCTCAAACGATACTTTTTAATCCAAGTTAAAATAATTAAAAAGTCAAAAAATTAACCCACGTGCCAAACTACGGCAATATTAGATCATTACAGGGAGTGGTTAATTCAATTCCACTCTCACATTGGTTGGGTCATTAAGAAATACTCAGTTTGGTTTTGCCTTTTAAGTTTTCAAAACTAATTTGATTTTTATTTTTTATTTTTGTGTTTTCTTGTATTTTGTAATTTTTTTTATTACTTTAAGTAAATTTTTTATTTTTAAATGCACATAATATAGATACAAGTATACTGAATAATTACAAAAATATATTAGGCCATGTTTGGTTAATCTTTGGAATCATAATTCCAACACAAAATTTTCAAAACACTTAATAAAACACACAACTCAAAATTATTCAAAACTCAATTCAAAAATTATTTTTAAAATTCATAACCAAACTCATAACTTGAAACTTTATACTGCTTTCAAAATTTTACACTCAAATCGTAACCAAACACATAACAAAAAAATTGAAATATTTAAAGATATTTTTATAAAATAAAATAAAATATTTAAAATTAAAAATATATAGTTAAAATAAAAAATAATTTTTTTTTAATTTTTTAATATTTAAAAAAATACAGCACAAAAATGTATAAAATATAGTACACATTAAAATAACTAAATAAATAAATATTTAAAATATAAAATATTTATCCTAAAAATAAAAATAAGAAAAATTTATAAAATTTATAAAAAATAAATCCAAAAAATTTTAAAAGACAACTCAAAACTCAAAATACAACTCAAAATTCTCTTCAAAACTCATAAACAAACAAATTTTCTCTTTTCAAAACTTAATTCAAAACTCATTACTCAAAATACGACTCCACACTCAAATTCTGATTCTAGAAATAATTTTAAAAAAAAAATAAAAAAAACACTTTTTTAATTTTTTTTTTTAAAAATTGAATTTTAAAAAGAGTTTGGTTTTGAGTTTTGAAAAGAGTTTTGAATTGAGTTTTGAGTTGTGTGTTTGGTTATGAGTTTTGAAATTATTTTTTAAATTGAGTTTTGAGTAATTTTGAGTGGTGTGTTTGATTATAAAATGGCTTTTCTAAAACCGTTTTTGTATTAAAAATATTTTTGGTCAAAAAATATTTATGTTGAAAATATAAATTAAAAAAAAAAATTAATGCAAAAACGGTTTTACCAAAACCTTTTTTTACCAAAACCGTTTTTAATTAATTCAAATTTAATTAAAACTTAATTTTCCAAAACCAGTTTTCTATGTTCAACTTTTATTATTATTTTAATCACGAAACACGGCTTTTCAAAAGTCATTTTTTGGAAAATGACATTGCGAAAGCCGCCTTACCCTACAAAGGAAATAAAGATAAAAACTAACCCTAGAATAAGAATAAAGTTTTGAAAATAGCATAGTCAGGGAAATAAGCCAGGCACTGACAGTGCAGTGAGGTGGGAGCCCATAGCACTTTTTAATTATTTTATATTTTATATTTTATTTATTATTTATATCTATATATTCTTAACACATATCTTAACATATACTTAAACACATCTATTATATCATTATTTACTCACTAAATTAACAAACTCATAATATATATTTTAACTAACATTTTTTACCCCTTCATTTGTGGATGCTCTCACTGTGCCGATTCCTTTCTCTTTAGTCACTTCAACCTCGGGAATTCGCCTATTTGTACAGGTGATTCACTCACATGTGGCTTTTATTTGCCACCCCTTGCAAAGTTTATCCAACTAAAGGCAAAGTTTATCCAAACAAATAATTAATTATTTTATAGTCCAAATACTAAACTAATTGTATTATAATCTCTTTTTTTTTTAAAAAAAAAATAATGACTCTTAAATTAAATTACATTTGAAGTATATCCAATATATAGATTTTCTCTAATCATAATTAGTTGATATTAATGTAAAATTAAAATTAATTAAATATTTAAGGTGACATAGTATATATTGTTACGTTCTCTCACACTCTGTAAGATATATATACATAGGTGCAAAATTGTTCGGAAAAAAGAGAAAAAATAATAGTATGTCCTTCATCGAGGAAGTACTTGTTGCTAAAGGGTTTAGAAAGTAAAATATTTTAGACTATCCTTCACACATTAACATATTAGGCCTAGGGGGTTTTGGATAAATTTCCCAATTATTAATTCACGGAACTCACATTCTACTATTTGGTTGCAATTTTTGTTATTTCGATTAGATTTCGATTGATTCTCTATTCAACAAAATTTACAATTTTTTTAATCCTACAACTAATATATATATATATATAAAAGCTCAATTAGTACACATTAATGTGTGTTTGGGAGGGAAAATATTAGGTACACACCTAACCTTTGGCATAGTACACAAATCGATTGTCTCGTGACTTGAACCCATAACCTCAAGATTATTAAGCTAAGGTTTTACCATTAAATCAATGGTCACCCCTAATTCTACAACTAATATACAAAACAATTATATATCTTCATATCTACTGTATAGTGATTATGGTTTTAGACCCAACCCATTTGATATTCTAGACTCGGGTTTCATGGTTCTGTATTGTAATTCTTGTCTTATTCCTTTTTTCCCTCATTGAGTCTAGCTTTTGGATTGTATTGGTTGCGTTTGGAACACGTTGGTTGCTTAGTTTTCAAACTTTTGTTGCCCAGAATTTTACTTCTCCGCTAGAGCGTCACTTCTTAGCTCGAGCGAGCTTTGTGAACTCTCAGTACTTTTGCAGGTCTGCAAAAGTACTGGGAAAGTATGTTCTACGTTCGAGCGACCTTTCTTGCGCTCGAGCGTTGGTCTACTGTCTGCAAAACTACCAGGAGTGTGTGTTTTACGCTCGAGCGTCACTTCCTGTGCTCGAGCGGTGATGCCCTTTTTCATTGTGTCTTTGCGCTTGAGCGTCACTTCTTGCGCTTGAGCGGTGATGCCCTTTTTCATTGTGTCTTTGCGCTTGAGCGTCACTTCTTGCACTCGAGCGGATTGTGCGTATATTAGTTTGTAAAAATGTCATTTTACATCACTTTTTCATTTCATTCTCTCTCTAAATATTTCAAAAACCAAGATCTAGAACTTCTCTCTCTAAAACTCACTCACTCTCTCTACATTTTCATTTAGATTTAGTGGTTTCTCTACCCATGCGCCTTTTTAAAAAAATGTTGAGCATTTTAAGGGCTACGTTTTCATCCGAATAGAGTTGAGTTTCAGCTTCATTCGAGTTTCGTCCTTGTTTTGCTCGTCTTCTAGCTTTGACTCTTCTATGAGTTTTTAACTTAGCTATTTGCTTTTCATAAACAATATTGTGATTTTTGAGGATTTTAAACAAACCTAAGATTTTGATTTAAAATTAAAAGAGGGGTTTACAAATGAATGTATTGAAAATGGTTATGAGAGTGAATATGAGGTTGTGTTGTAATAAAATTGTTGATTTTGATACTTTGGCTGAATTTTTTTTTTTTAAAAAAATGAAGAGTTTGCCCAACAAATGTCTCAAATATTTATTTTGTATAAATAAATGAAATTGGTATTGGAAATGTGAAATTGAATCGATGTTTATATAAATGGTAGAGTTGGAAATGTATTATCACTCACACTTGAGATTCGAATAAGTTATATGTCTTGGAGATTGTATATCTGCTTAAAAATATCCGTTTTGGACTATCGGTGAAGGATAGCTATAATTGTTGTAGAAATTGCATGCGAATTAGGTGAATCAAAACTAATTTTCTCATCCATTTATATTTAGCATTGTTACATCTTTAATACATTGTAAATGTATGATGTTTGAAAGAAGAAAGAGGATGTATTCTATTGAATTAAGTTGGCCGGAGTGTCCAGGGTGAAAATCCTGAAACCACGAGTATACATAGGTGCCGATTCCCGCGGACGAAATATCCGTAAAATGACAAATAGAAGTGATTGTATAATGACTATATTGGTTAGAGACTCACTAAGTTGTATCCTCAGTTCGGTTGCTTGAATAAAATGGAAGTGGCTCATGGATTGAGATAAAATAGATCGAAATATAAGTTCGACATAGTATGATTTTGCAAAAGAGTTATAAATGATTTTATCACAGACATGGTATGCGCACATCGCACTTACATCTTTGTTAAGATTCATATATTGTGTTAGATTATTTCTACTAGGTTTTAGCTTACCTTATTTAGGAAAACCATTTTCAGATACTGATGATATGCCTCCACCAAGGACTTAGCTTAGGAGGATTGTGGAGCTGAAGGCTCAGTTTTGTTATTTGTATTTAACATTTGTACAAGCCTAGGGTTTTATGTATATTGAGCTTACGACTCACTTTTGATGTACTCAAGCCTTGATTTGGAAAGACGTAAGTTTTTGGGGCATGTGATTACCTGTTTAACCTTTATTACATTATTGATGTTTGGTAGCACATGTTGTAGATTCAGGATGTTCTATTTATGAATAAATATCGCATGTGCCATCATTTTGTACAATCGAATCTCATGTAATAGAATAATATTATACTTTGATTTATTTCAAGGCATTACATACTGCAAAATAAAATAGGCAAAAGCTAACTTTTGAGGACATCGGTGCAAGCCACTGTTATATTTTGTGAAACTAGTAGGCCAGCTGCAATTTAAGCAAATTGTTAGGGGAGGTAAATGTAATTCGTTTAAATTATACCTAGAGTCAACATTTTGGATGCCCTGAAGTCTTTTTTGTGATTGAACTCCGTCTTCAGAACTCAAAACTTGAGAGAGACAGCAGAGCACCGAAATCGGGCTATGGAAGCAGTGAACAATTGACTGTTTGCTGATCAAAAACATGGATGAGTATGAGAGAGAGGAAGCCAAAGAAAGAGGAAGAGAAGAAAGAGGAAGAGAAAGAGAAAGAGAAAGAAAGATAGAGAGATGGAAACAGAGAGAGGGATTCCGGAGGGAGATGGGTGAAAATTATTGTGTCTTGAAGAAACTGAATCATCTAATGATCAATAAGGCGTGCAATTTGACCGCAGATCAGATAGATCATATCGACTCTTTTTACCGTCGGCTAAGATTCCTAGCAATCATTCTCAAGGATATGGACGAGAAGCAGCAGCAGCATGAACTGAACCATGAAGCTAAAACCCTGCCGATGCAAATTTATTATTTGATCTGCAAGACAAGACAACTCATCCGTTTTTTTGATGTTGAAGTTCCAGGGCAAAGGGACAGCAATAACAACGGTGACAGTTTTTTTGATATTTTAATTGGCATAAATATCATGGAAGAGATTAAGACGATCGAGGCAAAAGTGGTGCAGTTTTATGACCAGATAAATCAGATCCAACTCCTACAAAATTTCAGTGATGGAGTCCATTCGTCAATGTCAATGTCAATGGAGAACAGAACCATGGTAGATGAAGAAATTACAGTGGGCTTTGATGATGAGGCCTTGACTATAAAAAAGCTACTTGCTGGAGGGAAGAAGCAGCTACAAATGATATCAATTGTTGGGATGCCTGGACTCGGTAAGACTACTTTAGCCACAAAACTGTACAATGATCCTTACATCACACACTACTTTCATATTCGTGCATGGACCTATGCTTCTCAATTACCCACAAAAACAGATATGTTGTTGGACATTTTACGTTCTGTTAATGTCGATGAAATTGAAAACATGACGAATGAGAAGCTAGGCGAAAAGTTGTACAAGCAATTAAAAGGCAAGAGATATCTCATTGTCATTGATGATTTATGGGATATTGGTGCCTGGATCGATCTTAAAACGTATTTCCCCAATGACAACAATGGAAGTAGAGTTATGTTCACTAGTCGGCTCAAAGAGTTGTCTATGCATGCCTCACCTGATTGCCATCCTCATTGTCTGCGTTTTCTCACTGAAGAAGAGAGTTGGGACTTGTTACAACTGAAGGTGTTTCAAAATGAAAGTTGCCCGCCAGAACTGATTAAAATTGGGAAGCAAATAATGAAAAAATGTGAAGGACTTCCACTTGCAATTGTTATAATAGCAGGACTTCTTGCAAAGAACATCAAGACACAAGAGTCGTGGATACAAGTTGCCCAACGTGTAAGCTCATACATTGTTAGTGATCCAAACCAGTACCTGGACACACTAGCACTGAGTTACAATCACTTGCCTCGCCACTTGAAACCATGCTTTCTCTATTTAGGAGCATTCCCAGAAGACCAAGAAATCCCAGTGCAGAAGTTAATTTGTTTGTGGGTAGCTGAGGGGTTTATACAAAAGATTGGGCAGAGAAGCTTGGAGGAAGTAGCAGAGGATTACTTAATGGATCTAATTCAGAGAAGTCTGGTAATTGTTGCTAAAAAAAGGTTTGATGGTCGAATTAAAACATGTCGTATGCATGATTTGTTGCGTGATTTATGCTTGAAGAAAGCCAGGGAAATTAATTTCCTACAGTGGATTCACAATTATAAAGATGCTTATCCTCCTCCTTCAAGTAATTACAAAGCAAATAACCAATGTCGTCTGTGTATCCATTCTGACTTCTTGGGAAAACGTGGTCATGTTCTGTTAAAGTTTTATTCCCCAGCAGTTGTTCAATCATTATCGTGCTTCAGAAATAAGTTTCAGATGGAAATGAGTTATAACAACAATCCGTTTGGTGATGTGTGCTCGTTTATTTGTTGGACCTTGAAACTTCTTAGAGTGTTGGACGTATGGTACGTGAATGCCTTTTTTTCAAGAGAATTTTCAAGAGAATTAACACAACTTGTTAATTTGAGGTATTTGGCAATTAATTTGATAAGTTCTTATGAATTACCGCCATCAATATCCAATCTCTCAAACCTAGAAACACTTATTATTTCTACACAATGGAGTGAGGTTATTCTGCCATGCAATGTTTGGAAGATTCCAAAGTTGAGGCATCTTTATGCTAAAGGAGGTGCAAAAGTTTATGTGTCTTTATGTTCTGAAGAAGCAGTAACAGATCACAACCATCCCTCTATATTAGAAAACCTACGAACCATCGCTAACTTAAACTGTTATGGATTTATTCAGGATTTATTGGCAAGAACTCCTTTTCTTACAGAGCTGGGAATTTGTGGACAACTGTTTTCAGATTCGGAGAATTGGATGTTTCTTAACCTAGAATTTTTAAGACACCTTGAGACTTTGAAGCTAAGCAGCAATTTTTTCCCCAGACACCCAACTACTCTCAGAGAGGTCAAGTTTCCTGCAAATATTAAAAGGCTAACCTTGAAAGGTACAGGGATAAAGTGGGAGGAGATATCAGTCCTTGGGATGATGTTACCCAACCTTGAGCTTCTCAAATTAGAAAATGGTGCTGCCTGGGGACAGCAATGGGCAACAACTGATGATGCGTTTCCTCAACTCAAATTCTTGAAACTGAAGTACCTCAATGTTAAGCAATGGATCACTTGCTCTAGTCAATTTCCAAGCCTTCAACACTTATTGTTGGAACGGTGTGAAGATCTCAAGGAAATACCATCTAGTTTGGCGGATATACTCTCTCTGCAGCTGATTGAGGTAAACTATTGTCGTTCCACTGTTGACGAATCTGTCAGGAAAATTAAGGAAGAGCAAGAGAGCATTGGAAATAATTGGTTGAAAGTGCTGATTAAGAGGAAACAACCGTGGGCCCCTTGAGTAAAGTGTAATGATACAACTTCTAAAGGTATGTCGTATTTTATATTTATGTTTAATTTTTTCTTTTCTGATTTTGAATTCAACCCTACATAAAATGAAAGTAATCTATCTTGTGTATATATAAACTAACCTAAAACTCTATGCACGGTCTTAAACAAATAATTAAAATTTTATCTTAAAAATTAAAGTAATAATTTTAAAATTTAAAAGGAAAAAATAGTAAAACTTATGTGAATGAATTGTTTGCATTTAAATTGCACTAAAGTCGTGTTTTGATTGTGTAGTTATTAATATTTTATTTCAAGTATTAACTAATAGATATATATATATATGTATATATATATATATATATGTCATTACGTGGATTAGTAATATTTTAGAGCAAAAACATTGAATGAATTATAAAAATTACATTTAGCATACAAGATAAATAATATGTACTTTTATATTAGATTTTCTCAGATGACATAACAACTAAAAATTTTAATTTACAATTACATAATAAAATTCATTTAAAATTTATTAAAATCGAAAACAAATTGGAGAATGAAATAATTTTTTTATTTTATAGAAAGAGCAAGCATTAACCCCTTTTCCCAAGCCATCCAAAATGAAGTCATCTCTAACCTGCATCAAGTTCCACCTCTAAATCATTTCACTCCTCTCGTTAACCACTTTCAACTCGTGTTTTAGTTCCCTTCCTAGACGCACTTTTTTATTCCCTATCCCCCTATTACCCTTACAATTTTCAATCCTACAATCAACCTCTAAGTGAACTTTGTTAGAATCTATGCCGGCTTCTATGATCTTTATCCTCATTAACTAAACTAACCCCTTGTGAATAATCTCATCCAATGGATTATATTTCATGTGATTATAAAAACATGGAATGGTTAGACATGTGGTGCAAGGTTAAAATTAGGTCAACTAATAAAAATATGAGGAAAAATGTCAAATCAATTAGAAAATGGCTAAAAAAAAAATGTCATTTTCATTGGGGTCAAGTATGTCTTATGTTTGGTGCAAGTTATTTCTTGTGTTTGATGCAAGTATTTTATGTGTCAGACTTTTATCCAAACGATACGAATATATAGTGCAAAATTTTTTAATTTGCTTCACTGTTACTCAATTCTCTTAAAATATAAACCTAAGGTTGGACGCAAGTTTAGTTATTCACAACCTGAATATTACAACATTTGTACCAACTTATCTTAACCCAATTCCATTTAATACCTTTTCTTTGTCCTATCCAGCACTATAAACCAACATTTTTTACTTTTTAGTTTGAAAATTAATTAATTTAAATATTCTAGCTATACTTAATTATATATATAAGAGAAATGAATCTATACATAATTAAAATATAAATCTACAAATATTGTCTAAACGTATAGAGATTTTTTTTTTTTTTTATATAAATCATTTTGTTAGCCAATGTTTGTATCATGGATAAAAATAGATAAAAATTCTAATTTGACCTTAATATCTTTGAATTGAACTACTTAGACTGGTCTTAGACTTGTTGAACCATTCAACTTATAGTTAGTATTAGAAAATTACGTGTATTTAGAATTTACCTAAATGGTAATTTTATAATCTACTTAAAAATTTATGAATTTTGTATTTTCAATTAATTGTTCATAAATAAAAAATTTATTTGAAAAATAAGTGAAAACAATAACTATTATAAGTTGGGTAAATTACACTCACCTCCCTTGAGGTTTCTGACAATTACATTGGCCTCTCCTATTTTTTCCAAAAATTACACTGACCTCCCTTGAGGTTTATTTTTGATTTGCAGATTCCCTCTTTCCGTTAGTTGACTATTAGTTTGACTAATTGTTCCTTCTTTTTTTCTTGTGCGTGAAAGTCAGTGATTAGTTGTTAGATTATCACATAAAGGGGTTTTAGTTTTATTTTGTATAACATTTGAAGTGATTATCTGTAAATTAAAAATAAAATAAATCAATTAATTATTTTTTAGGCAAACAAATTAATATGAATTATTGAAGCCAAATGAAAAATACAAGAACTTGTATGTATGTAATGCAATAAATTATATATATATATATATATATTTATAGTTAAACCATGTGAGTATTTAAAAATATTATTTAATACTATTCAAATAAATACAAGTGGTGTCCCAATTTTATTTTTATTAATTTAGATAGTAAGACTCATCAATTTTATCTTGTATGTTTTAAGACATCTAAACCGATGTCAAGTATTAATTAAAAACTACCAAATAACTTCTCTTATATTTATATAATTAATTTTTTAATTTGTTTCATCATCACTTTTGTCGTAACAATAGGTTATTCTAAAATACATACCATTTTATATATGCAAGTGATAACATTTGTGGTGTTGGTCATTGTAAATATTATAACTAAATTTTTTTCAGTCATAACTAAAAAAAAAATTGACTCATAACCCAACACAACATAAGGTGTACCAAACCAAACCAAACTAAACCAAGCCTTAAGTCCTATCAAATGGGGTCGGCTACATGAATCCTTCTTCTCCACGCGGCCCTATCAAATGCCATTTCGTTAGTCAAACTAAGTAGATCCATATCTCTATTTACAACGCTACCCAACGTTAACCTAGGCCTACCCCGTCCCCTAACACTTCCATCTACCGTTATAGCATCGCATCTCCCGTTATAGCATCGCATCTCTTCACTACTGCCTCTGTTGGTCTCCGTTGAATATGACCAAACCATCTCAATCGATTTTCTCTCAGCTTATCTTTTATCGGTGCTACTCCTACCCATTTCCGAATACACTCATTCCTAATTCTGTTTTGTCTAGTCTTGCCACACATCCACCTCAGTATTCTCATCTCAACCACACTCATCTTATCTGCATGTTGTTTCTTGGTTGCCCAACATTTCGTCCCATACAACATCGCTGATCTAATAGTCGTTTTATAGAACTTACCTTTAAGTCTAGTGGGTATTCGTCTATCGCACAGTACTCCAAACGCACTTCTCTACTTGCACCATCCCGCCTTAATCCTATGGGCCACATCCGCATCAATCTCCCCAGCTGTTGTGATAATCGACCCTAAATAACGAAAATGTTCACTCTTAGGCAATTCTTGGTTCTTAATCTTCACTTCTCCTCTGCTTTCATTGTTACTGTTACTAAATTTACACTCCATATATTCTGTCTTAATTCTGCTTATCCGGAATCCTTTAGATTCAAGAACTTTTCTCTAAATCTCTAACTTTGTATTAACTCCTTCTCTAGTCTCATTTACTAGCACTATATCGTCTGCAAAAAGCATACACCATGGCACGTCATCCTGGATATTTCTCGTCAACTCATCCATAACTAATGCAAAAAGATAAGGATTTAAGATAGATCCTTGGTGTAACCCTACAGTGATAGGAAATTCATTTGTCTCTCCAGCAGGCGATCTAATAGTGGTCACCATCCCTTCATACATGTCCCTAATCACATGAATGTAATCTTTTGTCACTCCTTTCTTCGCTAACCCCCACCATATTATATCCCGGGGCACTCTATCATATGCTTTCTTAAGGCCGATAAACACCATATGAATGTCTCTTTTCTTTTCTCTATACTTTTCTATTACTCTCCTCAAAAGATAGATCGCTTCCATTGTTGACCTACCAGGTATAAACCCAAATTGATTCTCTGACACCTCTATTATATCTCGCAATCGGCGTTCTATCACCCTCTCCCACACTTTCATTATATGACACATTAGTTTGATTCCTCTATAGTTGTTGCAATTCTGGACTTCTCTTTTATTCTTATAGATTGGCACTAAAATACTCTTCCTCCACTTATTTGGCATGTTCCTAGTCAACAAAATTTTGCTAAACAACCTAGTCAACTAAGCAACCCCCTTTTTACCCAAACACTTCCAAGCTTCAATAGGGATATCATCTGGTCCTAAAGTCTTATTTGATTTCATCTTCTTAAATGCAATCTCCACTTCAAAGTTTCTAATCCTGCGATAGAACCTATGGTCTTGGTTTATCATATTACTGGCTATTTCTTCCCCTATTGTCGTACCTCCATGTTCCTCATTTAATAGTTTCTCAAAATAGTTCTTCTATCTTTCCTTAATCTCGTCATCCCTCACCAATACCTCAGAATCCTCACTCTTGATGCACTTAACTTGATTAAAATCTCTTGTTTTCCTCTCCGTATCTTAGCAAGTTTGTATACCTTTTTTCTCTCCCTCCTTACTATCTAGTCTAGTGTATAGGTCATCATAAGCTTTCAACTTAGTCTCTCTCATTACTTTCTTCACCTCCTTATTAGCCAATCTATAGCTCTTGAGCTTTTTCTTAGTTCTATCCTTTTGTCACTTTTTAAAGCACTCTTTTTTTGCCTTAACTACTGCTTGAACTTCTTTCCTCCACCACCAAGTTTCCCTAGAGCTGGGTCCCGTTCCTTTCGACTCTCTAAGCATTTCGCTTGAGATTCTCCTCATACAATTGGCCATCGAGTTCCATAGTGTTAGCATCATCTTCTAAGTCCCAAGTACCTTCCTTATCCATTCTATTCTTAAATATTTCTAATTTATCCCCTTTTAGGTCCCACCATCTCGTCCTACGACGCCCACCATCCTTCCTAGCTTGGTATTGCCCTCTAAAATATAAATCTAGCACCAAAATCATATGTTGAGAGGTCAGGCTCTCTCCAGGAATCACCTTACAATCATTGCATTTTTGGCAGTCCACTTTTCTCACTAAAGAGTAATCTATTTGGCTCTTAACTGACCCACTCTTAAAGGTTATCAAAAGCTCCTCCCTTTTCTTATACATAGTATTGGCCACCACCAGGTCAGAAGCCAACGCAAAATCTAAGATACTCTCTGCAGCCTCATTTTTGTCACCAAAATCGTATCCACCATGCACCCTTTCATAGCCTAGTTTATCTATGCCTACATGGCCATTAAAATTTTCACCTATAACTAGGTTCTCTCTTATGGGTATCTCCTGTAAGATCTCATCCATTTGCTCCCAAAAATTCCTCTTAGGCTGATCATCTAATCCTACTTGAGGGGCGTAAGCACTAATAACGTTCACTATATTTCCTCCAATAACTAGTTTAACTAATATAATCCTATCCCCTTTCCTAATGACCGCCACTACATTCTCCACAAGACCCTTGACAATTAAGATTTCTACCCCATTCCTGCGTTTATCCTTGCCACTATAATACAGTTTAAAACCGGTATCCTCAATTTCTCTAGCTTTCTCACCCGTCCACTTAGTTTCTTGTACGCAAGCTATACTAACTCTCCTCCTAATCATAACATCTACCAACTTCATCGTTTTACCAGTTAAGGTTCCTATATTCCAAGTGGCTACCCTAAACCTATAGTCTTGGACTAGCTTCTTTACCCGCACTCATCCAGGAGAGCGCGGGAACCTTTGCCCATTTTTCACTGCACCCAAGCGTCGATGCGGCGTCCCTTGCTCACTTTTCGAAACACCCAGAGACAGGCGCAACGCGTCACTTGAGGGTAACGACCTAACATTTAAACGATTCAAAGTAAGATTCATTGTCATAAGGGATCCGAGCGGCTTTTTTACGTGTTGGCTGTCAGCTACCTAACATACAACCCTCTTTCTTAACCAAAATAATAATCGCACATATAATGTTTATTAACAAAAATATCTCTGATGTTAAATGTCTCTAATGTTAAAATTACTAAACTAACCCTCCTGTTAACGCTATTGATCACAGGGAAAGTCAGTGCAATTTTAGAAAAGGAAGGGGAGATCAGTGTAATTGTTAGGAACCTCAATGGAGGTGACTGTAATTTATCCTCATAAGTTATATATTTTATTTACATATATTTAAGATAATTGCATAAAAAAATTGATATTAAATTTTTAATAATATTTATGCTACATTTGGATAATGATTACAGGGAAAACAAAATTAAATTAATTAAACAAAATGGTTATTTTTGTACTATTATCTAATTCATTTTTTTCATATTCTTAACCTAACCAGAACAAAATATAGTTTCTTTCACTTTTTTTTCATTTTTAAATTTAACTAAGCATATAGCACTTTATGTTTTTTCATATTTCATTTTCATTTTTAATTTTTGTAAATTTTTTTTGGAATATGTGATATATATGTATTGAGTAACAATATTCATGTGGTCTAATAAGTATAGAAAAGTAATTCAAAAAATTATCAAAAAATAAAGTGTATGGAGTATGTGTGTGCTAAAATTTTACCACAACCAATATCTGATCTTCCTCCTAGAATTCTGGGCACACAGTTGTAGAACACGCAGCCTATATAGATCCACGTCTGCACAATTAGAAGAATAACTAACTTGATTGCTTGTCAACCGAGAGGGCACTCCGATGATAAAATCAATAAATTAATATCCCAAGATATTTCGACAAATTAACGATAACTCAGATTAATACACATAAACTCACGTATCTCTCACACATAGGGGTGCCTATATAAAGGTGTCCTCCTCCTAGAAGTAGTGATCAAGTCAAACACTTATTCCTTTTAGAAATAATATTAGATGATTCATCTCTCCTAGTTGGGTTACGGTTAACCTCTCAAAAGAGTCCTAAATACACCCAACCTAGGAGTCATTCATTCACTAGGATTTTTGTCTTTCACCAAATACCTCAGCCTAGACATGGATCATTTTCATACCTCGGCCAATCACATTCTGCCATGTGGCACTTCAGGCCAAGGTCATGCCATGTGGACATGTCGAAAATTATGTCTCCACACCTGACTCCTAGATACTATCACCTCAGGAACCATAACCACAACTAAGGCTACTGAAGACAGCTGCAATGACAACTATAACACACCTATAAAACTATCATAAGGATGTAGGATAGCAGTACACAATCCTCTCCTCTATAACAAACTTAGTTAGTTAGAATCTATAACTAATCTAGAGATACTTTGTTTTGTTTCCATGTATACATTGATCAAAGATTTCTATCTGTAGTTGAGTTCATAATGAAATAATAGAAAATATCTTTTTGTTCTCTCTCTCTCTCTCTCTCTCTCTCTCTCTCTATTTTCTTCATGGTATTAGAGTGAATTAAGGCAAGAGGAATGTTGGATTAGTATTAGTCAATACAAAAGGATGTTTGTGACTCTTTGAGACACAACAATGACTACAAAAAGAAGAACAGTCTTTATGAGAAATGGAAAAACCACAAGTTTTAGCTATATGATGAAAAACATCTGAAGAAGGATGCCCTAGTCTCTTATGCAAAGTGGCAGCTGGAGAACTAATACTAGAAAAAACCATTGAATAGTGATCAAAATGAGAGGGAAGGAAACTGATAGAGACCATTCTGATGATGACCTCTACATAAACCTTGCTTGCTGTGTTTGTCCTAAATAACAAATGATTTATCAACAAATGTAATGGTGCAAGCATTATCTGATGTGAGTTGATGAACATAAAGCAAAATAGATGAAATTTGTAGAACATGCCACACATTGTTAAGTTTGAATTTGAAGGAGGGAGTAGATAATGTTGTTGTTTCTTCTTCTAGTCATGTTTCCATTTCTCCTAATCCTAGTCCTCTTGCTAACGATCATGTCCTCTTCTTCCTCTGTTTCTTTTTCTTTCTCTCCACCTGGTATCAGTTTTACTGTTCCTATTTTACCTCCTCCTTTGCCTCTTAATTCTCATACAATGATATAACTAGAGCTAAAGTTGTTGTTTCTACCTCTTCTTTGTGTCTAACAGCTTCTTTACTTCCCAAGATGCAATTGCAATTGAATTGCACTGTTTTGGTTCTACCTGTTTTCCTTTTATTCATAATAAGTACGTTTTGATACATGTTAAAAAACATATAAGAAAAAACATAAGTTTGCATTTTTAAGATGCTATCGAAATGTCCCATAGGGTCATCATTTGAGCAGTGACCTGGCGAGGTCCATATTCTTGGGTAGGCTGGAAAAGCCCAAAAAGGGCTTGGCTTGGGACTGGGACTAGGTCTAGGCCTAGGTGTTGTAGACTAACTAGTTAGTCCTTGAGAGGCGATCAATCAGCCCATTGGCTCGACCCACAAGCAAAAAATAGGAAAAATGTTTTTTTTTTATTTATAAAGAGATTGTTAGGGTTAGGCACCTCGCTAGCTCTACAGGGCTTGGGCCTAAAATTTTTGGCTCTGGCATGGCGTGGCCCACTAGAAAAAAAAACCTCTTGAGCTTAGCCACAGAAGAGCTTGGGCACCAATTTCACAAGTTGAGCCAACCTTGCCTGAGTGTACACACAATGCAAATTGTCACGTCATGGCCTACCATCTTCAAAACTAATCAGTAATTTTCCTCCTATGATGGATATACTGATTTGAGTATATCAAGTGAGCATAGGGCTCGGATAACTGTGCTCAAACGAAGTTGATGTTTAAACAACTTATTGAATCTCTTCTTCTAATGCATTTGCTAAAATATAATATTCGGAAAAAATGAGTAGTATCCCTTATCAATTTTGGGTTGGCTATTTGTATTAAGACCTTTTCTTTTTCTTTTTTTTTTCTCGTATAATTTAGTAAAATTTCAAAACTATTTCCATTTTTTGGAAACAAAAATGTGACACCAAATAAGTTTTTGTTTCCCATTTTCAAAATATTTGTAAAACATAAACATTACCAAATGGGAGTTTAAGAGCTCAACCTTGAGAAAAATCGAGAAAGAGTGGGAGGGGATGTTGATCCTTGGCTTGTTACCCAATCTTTGTTGAGAAGTGTTGATCTGATAAGTATTGAATATTTACCACTAGACCGTAGATCCAACTATGAATACATAGTTCTCTATATATTGGTTGTATTTTTTCTAATCATAGCACAGCGGCAATGACTCTGGACGTATGCCTAATTTTGGGATGAACCACTTTCAATCTTGTGTGTATGTATAATTTATAATTCCTATTTTGTTCCTTTCTATTTTTGTGTCTCACTCAGCCTGATTAGGTATTCCGCATGGACAACAACTTGCCAAAAGATCTTGATCTAACTAGTGGAAAACTTTGGACTAACCCGTGAGCTACTGCATTGAAACGTCTTATAATGCTATGTCTATTGTGATGTTTCTATTTTTTGCCATTTTCTTTTTCTTTTCTGAACTTTTTTTTTTCTTTTAAGATTTCACACAAGAAGATTAATGAGGAATGCAACTTTGTAGTGAATTTTAATTTTCTCAAGTGGAATTTCATTGTTTTTGGTAGTACTTGTATATCCTTTGGCTGAAAATGTAAAACCAGTTTGATAACATGTTTCAGTTGTATATCCTTTGGCTGAAAATGTAAAACCAGTTTGATAACATGTTTCAGGATGAAGATTGTCTTGCTATGGCTTCCCTCCCTTGTTCTGAATCAAACGGAAATGGTGTTTTCAAAGGTGCTATCAGAGAAAATGTACCAATTAGAGATTGGGTGTTTGATTGTGCTAGAAATTGCTAGTTAAGTGTGCTTGTTATGTAATATAACTGTTTGTGAGTGCTTTTGTAATATATTACTGAATTCACCCAAAAAAATATATAACTACTGTTTGTGAGGAAATTGTTGGAGTATTATTCTGTCTTGTTTACTGTCAAAATATAAAAATGGAGTAGAGTTTGTGACTCTAAATTTACCTGGTTTAAGCATATTTAAGTGTTTGGTATGGCCAGCCAGCCACTTCAACTGGGAGGAACAGAGCATTTGAGTTAACAGTATATCTTTTATTTTTCATATAGGTTGCATGAATGGTACATCACTTATTCACCATGCATTAATAGTTTTGAGTGGTGGAGATACACAGAAGGAAAAATTGTACAAATTTTTTGTATAAAGTGATGTGGCATATTGTGGTCTCTCGATTTAAAAACAAAATTTTCATCACTGTGATCTTGATTTACAAATGAGTAATGTTATACAACTTGGATTACATTGATCTTAAAAACTACTAAACACATATTAGAAGGTGCTTTATATTCATTGAACAAGGGATATACAAAGTGTGATGGCCATTCCAGATATCAATGAGGTTAATTGGAGTACATTACTTTTTATTGCTGAGCTGCTGCAATTGTTCATTTCTGCCAGTACTTTGGCAACTGCAATGTACACGAACCCGCCTGCCATGAATCTTGGAAACAAAAACAAAAATAAAAACAACAAAAACATATTGGGATTATTACTAATGCTAATGCATATGATACCCTCAGCGTCAAGATGAGCTTGCCCGGATCATTTCTTGAAGATTTTTTACCTCAATCAAAGATGATTGTCCTTGATCTTGGCCCATGACTAAAGCCTTTGTGACAATAACAGGAAAACGTGATTATTATTCTTCAATTGTTTTGGGATTAAAAAATAAATAAAAAAAATACAATTCAACTTGCCATACTGAAACAATACTAACCAATGTTGTTCTTGCTAGTGCCACCAATGTTGAGAGGAAAATTGAAAAAGAGAGCTTTCGAGACACTGAAACTGGATCTTACCAACTAAGAAGCACAAATATGGATACAAATGCAGACACAGACACGTATGCGGACACGGGACAAAGCGAGTTCAAAAAAATGGGGACACGGAAGGCGGAGACACGGCAATAAATTATGCTTATATATATATATATATATATGTGTGTGTGTGTGTGTGTATTCTATCTAGATTGATATTACATCCACAAACAATCAATATTAACAAAAACTAACTCTAATTTTATTTTTATTTTTTTTAAAAAATACTTTTAAATTAATACTTACAGTTTATATATATTTTTTATGGATTATCTATTAAGTATTTAAATCTAAGAAAAAAAATAATAAATATTCAACATTCATAAAAAGTACTAAATAAAATGGGAAAAAAGACAAATTGACATGTCCATAATGTGTTCCCGAAGTATTTCCGGCGTGTCCCTTGAAAATAAATTAATTAAATAAGAGAACACGCCATGTGGTGTGTCCCATACCCCGACATGTCCGTGTGTCTGACTCAGATACGGCATTTGTTTTGCGATATCGGTGCTTCATAGCTTACCAAGATTCCAAAATCACCTATCTGCACAGGAGGGTTTAACAAAAGATATAGCACCAAACGAAAGTTCAATTACATCTATAATAAAAAAATGAAAAGTTTTTAAGGATGAAATACAAGATTTAGTGTTGCCCAAAGTACGATTATATTCTAATGTGGCGTTCATAACTACAAAATATAACTACGCCAACATGGAAAATCCTTAATGACGCACAACAAAAATATGTCAACAAAATTTCGATAAAATATTTCCTTTAAGATAAATTATGTTAACATGTGGAGTAATAATATGAAGTGTCTAATATCATGTTAATCACACAATGAATGTCCTCTGGGTAAAGATCATGAACTACACACGTGTATTGAGTCCAATTCATTTTGCACTTTTGCTATATACATAAAAATGACAGAAAATTGCGCCAATAGTCCTTATACTTTACCCCTTATGTCATTTTGGTCATGTAATTTCAAATCGCTTGATTTTGCACCTTATTTTCAAGTTTTTTGTCAATTAAGTCCAATTAAAAATGGCCCTTACAATTTCATTGAAATTTCACACGTGAACAACACACATTTTTCCAGGGTAAAATAGTCCATTCGCCCATACCCCATCCAACTTTGTGAGTTACGCTTCGGTGCCTCTAAATGCACCTCAAATTTATGGTTGGACATCTCATTTATTTGTGGTTGGACATCTCATTTCTTTGAGCATCCCAATTCCTGAATTCAAATTTTGTTCTTTTTCTTTGAGGACCCTAGTTAACACCAACTTTACCCCCATCCATCCCAACCCCTCCACACCACCACCGCCACCACCCCATCATCTCCGGCAACATCTCCCCGTCCCTCCCCACTGTGCGTAGCGGCCTCCCATTCCCTCCCTGCAGGCCGACGCTAGCTCCCTTCCTTACCCGTCGAACTATACCCCTAAACCCCACCTCCCCTCTCAATTTCCTTCCCTACCCGCCGTCATGACCACCGCCGCTCGATGCAATCTCCATAAATTTGGTTTGGTGGTCTGTGTCCTAACCACCACTATTTGTTTAGTGGTATATGTCTAAACCACCAAAATTTGGTTTGGTGGTCTGTGGCTGGCGGCAACGGCATCTAGGTGAGGAAAAAGGGATGGGGCGATCGCCGGAGTGGGGTGGAGAGGGGGCATGGAGCGTGGGGAGCGACTGGGGGATGGCGGGTGGAGTTGGAGAGGGTGGGAGAGGAGTTAGAAAGGGAGGGGACTCAGGTGGCTATGCGGCTAGTGGCACTAGCTAGCCAGGGCAGAAGATGGTTGTATGGTTGAAGGATTTTTGGTAATTTCATTTAGGGGTATAATGAGGTGCATTTAGAATCACCTGTTAAACTTAATTAACTTGAGCAAAACTAATATTATATATATAAAGAGAGTGAGAGAGGAGGCAGTTGGTGGGCGTTAGGGAAGGCGAAGGGGAAGGGGCCTTTAAGCAATGGAGAAGGGGTGTTGAGGATGAATGCAACATAGGGGGAGCATGGAGCAACAATGGCAACGAAGAGGTAGCAATCTATCCTTCCAGCAGAGGCAAAGATTTTCAATGACAATGGCAAAGGCAATCTCAGTCGATCTCCTTCCTCTCCTTTTCCCCCCCTTCCTCTGACCCATTCACTTTATCTTCCCTCTTTTCTTTTTCATTGATTTGTGGTGGAGGGTAAAATTGAATTGACAAACGGAGTGGTTTGCAGAAAGGCGGGTTTGCTGTGGTTGAAAGGGGGTGATTTGGTAGATGAGTTGTTTCACAGTAATGGGGTAGCAGAGGGGGACTTTGATGGTGATTAGGATGGTTGTTGATGGTGACTAATGGAGATGGCAGTGGAGAGGGTTGAGATTGTTAAATGATTATTTTATTATTATTATTATTATTATTATTGCTAGGCAATAGTTGGATGATGTTGATGAGGTGGGTTTCAGGCTGGTGGAAGAAGGTTTGGGTGGCAAAAAGGGGGTTTTGGTGATGTTTGACAGAGTGGCTGATGGTAGTTGATGGTAGTTGGTGGCAATGATAGTGGAGGGGTTTTAGCGGAAGAGGGTTTGGGTGGCAGAAGTGGTGGTTTGGGAGGGTGGAAGATGGTGGTGATTGGCAGCAGTGATGGAATAAGGTGGTGTGCATAGTGTAGATAGCTGACGTTGATGATGGAAGGTGGGGATGGTTTGTGCTGGGTTATTGGGGAGAAAGAAACAATCTTTGTGGAGGGTAGAGAGAGAGAGAGACGGTTGAATGGCCCATTATGGCCCTGAAAATTGGCTGTGTGCGGTACATGCGAAATTTCCATAAAAAATTGTAACGACTGTTTTTAATTGAATTTAATTGACACAAAATTTAAAATTAAAGGACAAAATCAAATTGATTGAAATTACAGAAACCAAAATAATAAAGGGTAAACAATCGTATTTATCACAAGAAAAGAACCAGAAACAACGTTCATCTACTAAGTCTACTTAATTTTGCACTTCTACCCATAGTACATAATTTTAGAAGATGCTGCAATACATAAGAGTCAATATCAAGCCTGGTAGAACATATGCAGTTGGTTATGGAGTAAAATAACCCATCAACTCACATGTTTTTATAGGAAACAAGTCACTTTGCATGCTTGCATCCTCAAGCCAGGCCAAGAGTGAAAAGAATTTTAGCAGGGAAGGCAATTTAGTGACAACACAAAATTACCGATATACATGCACTTATAATATGCAAATACAACGATGTACTGTATGAAGATCCATTCCGAATCTTTAGAATTATGGCAAATTACCTACGTCTCCCTTAACTTTTAGCTAAATTATAGATTCTCCCATGATATTTTAGAAATTACATCCCGTCCCCCAAAGGTCTATATTCGCATAACAATTTAACCCCTACTGTTAACTAAAAGTTAAGAATGGTTAGCTAATATCACCAAAGTATAAATTGATGGACGATATTGCCCCTGTTGAAATCCCATTGATAAATCAACAAAATTTGCAAAAGAATTATGTTAGATGGGAAAAAAAAATTAAGTTTTTGGAACCATGTTTGATTTGTTGTTTAAAAAAAATTTCAAAATTAAAAAAAAAAATTAATAAAAATAAATATGAAAAAATATATTTAATTTGTAAAAATTATTTCTAACCACCAAAAGATGAAATTATATAAAAATAATAATAATTTTTTATTTTTTATTTTTTATTTTTTAACCAAATTAATTTTAATTTTTTTAAAAAAATTAAAAATAAATTTCTAAAAATTAAACCAAACATATTCTAAGAATTTTTTGACAAGCCATTTCTTGTATTTTTAACTTATTTAATTATTTGTTAATTTTATGATATTTTCACCGTCTGACACTACATATAAGAGTTTTAGAGAACAATTTTTTTAATCTCTAAAAATGAAAATTTTGTTGCAAAACACATTTAGGACTAATTTCTATCGTCGTGAGGATAGTCGCTAAAATGTTGTCTTGAAAAGTAAAAAATAAGGCTTTTAACGATAAAATTTCGAAAATGTCAATAATAAATAGACTTTTAGGGAAAAAATAATTTGGTCTCAAAATGGTTTATTTTTTGAGATAAAAAATTTGATACCAAAAAGATAATAACTAATTACTAATGTTCAATTTTCGTTGCTAAAAATATAATGACACTTTTGTAACAAAAATATTTAGTTCCCTAAAAATAATTGTCCCTAAATTTTGATTTGTAAAACTTTAATTTTTGGTAGTGTGATGAGCGTTTTTTCATTTTAATTTTACATTTCATAACTTATTTAAAAATGATAATTTAGCTAAACCTCAGGGGAATTTGTAATTTAGCTAAACCTCAAGGGGGTGTAGGTAATTTGCCCTTATTTGTCAAAAGGGCATTTTAGTCAATTTATGATATCCGTTAACAGCGTTAATTGCAATGAGGCGTGATGTAATTTTTGAAACCTCAGGGGAGAATCTGTAATTTCGTTAAACCTCAAGAGATGTGTAGGTAATTTACCCTTAGAATCAACTAGCTAAAGAACTTATTATCTGAAATTGATATCAATATAATGACATAAAATTAAAGTCATTATTCTTTATTAAAATCTCCATAGAAAATGAAGGAACAACAGGAAGAAGCGAACATCTTGAGGAAGCTAATGTACAAGCAGAAACAGAGTTCTTGACCACCCACCAACAGATCCATTCGTAAAATTGTGCTGAAATGTTACACGTCACATTGAAATGCTTCAGTTTTCAGTCAAATACATGAATTAAAAATGAAAAAAAAATTCCCCATAGAATTGTAAAACCTTTACATGTGTGTGTTCATTAAATCTATATTCATGGACAGTAACACCAATCATAAAGAAAACAACATTACCATTGAAATTTAAATTAAAAAGTAACAATATAAATAAAAAAAATTAAAAAATATACTACACCATCGGAGAAGAGGTTAAGGTAACCAAACACAAGATTTGATGGAGAATGAGAAAGTTCTTTTTCGACCACGGATTTTATATGGTGAGTGGAGCCATTTGGAGCATCTGAAATGTTATCTTTTCCAGCACCACTGCTAGTTTTTCTCTGCAAAAGTGAGGATCAAAGGTAAGTTTCAATAACAAACAAGTTGCAATAATGATTTTAATAATAAATAAATAAATAAATATATAAAAGGGGGCATGCGCTAATGGGGCGTGAAGACAGTCCTAGCTTTATTGGAACCTTGAATCTAAGCATTTGATATCATTACCACTTTTCTTACCAAGTAAGCTAGCAGGCATCATGAAGGCCCTGCCAATTTACATGGTAAAGCTTTGTTCAAAAATATAAGGAATCCTAACCATTCCCAAATACCTGAAAGGGTAAAAAATCTACAAGTCTAATGGAAAATGTTTGCATTTTGATAATATCTATACATTGTTATATCCTGGTCAAAAGAGAACCACCCTCGTGATTTTAATTATCCAACACATCAGAACCATGTGACATCATGTTTCCATTTAGGTTCCTCAAACCAAAAAGGTCAGATTCGATAATGGATTATGTTTCCATGAAATAAGATACTTTATCAAATGTTTCAACATTTCAGTCAACAAAACATATTTGATATGAAATTGTTGTGCACTAGCAGAACAATCCCACTAGGTATATACATTTGTTTCCCAATGTGTTATGTTTTTGACCTTCTTTGCCACAAAACTTTGTAACTTATCAAGGTCTGAATCATTATTTTTCATCTTGAACAAACAGAAAACTAAAATTAAGAATAAGAAAAGCAACAAACCGTATTTCATTTCGTGCTATTAGAATATTCTATCACAAGGATATTAGGAACTGTGGAAAAATTATTCTGAATGAAGAAGAAACAATCTCTTTTGCGTGTAACAGATACAGATCAGAGATCGATATATGTCGCATGCGTTTGTATACATTTGTGGCTAGAGACAACTCTTTAAAAAAACAACAACAATTCTAGTCTAGCCCGACTGCTACCTGACTATAATTCTAGGTCCATATATGAAGAAATGCCCAGAAACCAACTTAGTTCAAAGTTGATCATAACCTGCCAGGAAAAATCACAATTACCTTCCGAAGAGATTCAAGATAATTTTGCTTTTCAGACCCTTCGTCTAAAACCTTCCCTTGAGATAACATTTCTGATACACTTTCATTCTTTTCATTGAGACTGCTACTGAATCTTGTCATCATTGTCATTGTCATCCTTCAACTTTTTACTATTCTTATGATGATGATAGAGAAGGCCTAAGAAGCATGGACACAAACACGTGACACGACACGATCACGCCGACACGTTAATTTTCAAAAAAATGCAGGACATGGCAAGTGGGGGACACACATGAAATATATAATTTTATATATTTATTCTAAGAAGCACGGACACTTCTAAAAAGGTGACGTGTTTGTGTCGTGTCTGTGTCGAACACCGATACTCTTTAGACACTACCCAGACATGTGTCTGACACTTTTCAAAACGTGCCCTATTTTTTAATTTGTTTTTAAGTTCAAACCAAACCAGAAACCTCAAAACCAGCTCCTAAGCACCTCAGCAACAAAAGGATGGTGTTTGAGTGTGTGTTTGTGTGTTAAAGTATGAAGAAATAACACTTTAAGGCACAAAACAAGAGATAAATGAAGATGTATAGATATAGATTATATGTATAGCTCAAGGACCTTTTTTTTGAACCTAAGGCATGAGGGAGGAGGCTCCCTTATATAGCAAAACAAAGTTCAAGCTTGTTGAACACACTAAGAGCTCTAAGCAATCCCTCTATACACGTGTATGGAGGATGCTTTCTGTGCCTTCCAACTGGCATAGCTGGCAAGAAAATATCTTCAGAAAGCTGAAGGAAAGCCACCAACCAGTTAAGTGGTCGTCCAGCTACTTTTACTGGTCAGCCAGCTACTTTTCTGGTCTGCCGGAAGAGAAAGTGGTCGGCCAGTGGCTGGAAAGGCCAAAAGTGGTTAGCCAGGTGTCCAAACTGAAGCCCCAGAAGTTATCTTTCCAATGGCGCCAGCCTTGCATTAAAATTTCAACTGTGTAAAAAGTTATGCTTGTTTTGGTGAAGTCGCGCAGTTTCGATCCAACCGGATTGATGCCCTACTTCAACCAACCATATCTCCCCCATCCGGACTTGGCTTTAGGAGATTCTTGAGTGAAAAATGAAGCCCCGAAAGTAAGCTTTCCAACGGTGGTGGCCTCATAGCTGAAATCCAAGTATTCAAAAGGATAGGCCTGATTTAGCGAGGGTTGCTCGATTAAAAAATCAGCTGGCTGACTAGAAAACTGGCTGGCGGGGAAGAAAAGTGGTCTCCAAGGGGAAGAACTGGTCTCCCACCCTTATTCCACCCTTCAAGCAAGGAAAACAAGGTTTGTACCAAAAACAAACCAAAAAGGATGCAAGACAAGAGTCCGGGGGTCAAGCACGCAGCCGGAAACCACGAAAACTAGTCTACGAGCACCAAAAGTGGTCGACGACCACAAAAGTGGTCTCCCAGACCATAGTGTCCCTCTAGGCAGAGGAAACAAGGCATGGTTCAAAAACCAAGCCAAACGGAGAACGTTATGTGGTCCCGAGACAAGGCGCGCGGCCGAAGACTCTGAAAATCGAAAACTAGTCTCCAAAAGGGAAAAGTGGTCTACGACCACAAAAAGTGGTCTACGAGCACAAAAGTATGATCTACAAGACCTCTCCCTCCCTCTATGGAAGAGAAACAGGGCTTGGTCCACAAACCGAGCCAAAGCACAAAGAGTTCAGAGGCTCGGAGGCAAGGCTCTCAGCCAAAACTCCGGAAACTCGAAACGAGCACAACATGCACCATCACTGAGCGCTCAATCGATGACATCTGAGTCTTAAGGTTGGTGAAAAATGAGATGTCTACAGTGTCATATTGCATTTTTTATTACCTTTGAATGATATATTCATATATAGAACATATAATAAACATCTAAAATTACATATTTCATGCGTGTCCCCCACGTGTCATGTCCTGTATTTTTTTAAAATTGACATGTCAGCGTGTCTGTATCCATGCTTCTTAGTATTTGTTATATGTTATATATATGAATATATCATTCAAAGATAATAAAAAAATGCAATATGACACTATTTCGTATATATTTATATGGTTTTTATTTTATTATTGTATTTTAAGTTGTTTTGTTCAAACTTATTAGTTTCACATATGTCTAATCAATAGACATGTGTTTAAGTGATTGACACGTGTGTCCTCCAAGTGTCCAAAGAGTGTTCGGGTCTTTAGGATACGTTTTGAAGAGTATTGGACACGTGTCCTACGAGTGTCCAAAGAGTGTCGGTGTCCGACACGGATACGTCACCTTCTTAGAAGTGTCCGTGCTTCTTAGGAGAAGGCTACGACTAGAAATTAGTTTAAAAGTGGCTTACAACCAACAAGCTCAATGACAAGTACGTGAAAAGTGGGTACATGGAGCCTCTCAATAACAAGAAAGCGACAACTGCCTTACATGCAATCATTTAATGACAAACAAGTGCCAAGTACAACCACTTTAGTGACAAGTAGTTGAGAAGATGCTTACAAGCAATCACCTTAAAATCAAGTGGTTCATTAACAACGACTTCAACAAGTGGTTTATGCATAGCCACTTTCTAAGTAAATTACTACCTTAAGGTTAAAGAAACATACAAACTGAAAAAATATATTAAATCAATTCAACTACACAAATCTTCACCAACTACTTGGGGTTGGCTAGATGAATCCTAGTTTGCATATTTGATTAAGATCCATAATTTTAGTTGAACAACAAGCTATTAACTTGTGTTCGAGGATCGAATTAATTAATGAAAGATTAAGATCCAAAACTAGGTTTAAACTAAACCATGGTATTATTGAATTAATTAATGAAAGATTACAAGAGAAATATATATAAGAAAACTAAGTAAAACCCTAGAGGCTAACAATGACTAAACTACCCTTAATGATAAAACAAACGCATGCTTAACACTTACTATCTTAACTCGTGTTTAGTTTGGTCTTCCTCATCCTCTAGCATTACCCGTAATGCAAATTGTGTCACTATTCTTGAATCTCGTATATCAACTAGGGCCACTTTTTCTCAATTTCACTTTGTGTGTTTACTCTGTCAACCTTTTCATATTCTTAAGGTGATATTCCGTCCAAAAGAGTGACTACCGTTGCCTCAATCAATGAAATTGTACTCTTTTAACCATCAACAGTGTGTCAAGGCTTTTGAACCATTCATGTGGTCCAATGTACTCCAGTGACACATTTGGATTATCAATAAATGTGAATTTATAATTTGTTTATTACTTTGCTAACCATTAATAATTATTTATTATTCAGAATTATTAATTTTCAAATGTGACAGACAGAAAGTAACATTTTTCTATACATTATTAGAAGTAACTTTTTTTCTATACATTATTAGAGGCAAAATTACAGGTATATATAAAACAGAGATAATTCTTGCATGTGCATAATGCATACATATATATTGTAAAACAAGAAAGCATGTGACTAAGATTAACAAATAACATATGCACGTAGAATGTTTCTCAACTTACCCAAAACGGACAAACCAACAGATCTTTTAAGGAAGTGCATGTTTAAGAGACGTGAATGCTCATGTCCAAAATGAACATGAGAATGAGCATGGTCCACATCAAGATCGTGTGAATGAGAGTGTTCACCACCTAGAAATATAACATAATCATACAAAAAAATAGTTAGAATGTAAAATGAGGAAATTCAGGGTTAGGAAGAAGAAGAGAAAGGAAGAAGAGAAAGGAATTTTATATATCTTGTAATATTGTGCTCAACCCTACATCAGTACATTAGCAAAATATATATATACAAACCCTAAACTTATGTAAATATTGCAATATGATCATCGTACCCTCAACTTATGTAAATATTAACAATAGAACAGAAATAACTATTCTAACAGTCCCCCTCAAACTGGAGCATAGAGATCAAACATGCCTAGCTTGATAGATAATCAATGAAACGAAGACCGAGCCAAAGGTTTGGTGAGGATATGAGCCAATTGATCTTCAGAACGAACATAAGGAGTCACAAGTTGCTTACGTAGTAAGAGGTCACAAATAAAATATCAACCTCTATATGTTTGGTCCGTTCATGAAACATAGGATTATTGACAATGAAGATAGCAGCCTGATTATCACAAGACATTCTCATAGGAGTGGGAACAGAAAAACCAAAATCTCGGAGAAGAGACTGAACCAAGAGCATCTCAGAAGCAGTATGAGTCATGGAACGGTATTCCGCCTTGGCACTAGAACGAGCAACAATAGTCTGTTTCCTGTTACGCCAAGTAACAAGATTACCACCAACAAAGGTACAATAGCTCGAGGTGGAACGATGACAGTCCGATTACCAGCCCAATTAGCATCACTGAAGCTAGTGACAGACAATGAGGAAGAGGGTTGATAGAGCAAACCCCGACCGAGGACACTCTTCAAGTATTGCAAGATACGACACACAACAGCAAAATGAGGTTGGCGAGGAGCATGCATAAATTGACTGACCACACCCACAGCATAAGTAATATCTGGATGAGTGACAGTGAGATAGATTAACTTCCCAACCAACAGACGATAACGACCAATATCAGGAAATAAGTCTCTAGTTTCACTATTAAGTTTGACACTAGAATCCATGGGAGTATCACTAGGGTGAGTGCTTAAGAGACCAATCTCAGTGAGAAGATCAAGAACATACTTCCGTTGAGAGAGAAACAAGCCATGAGAAGAACAAGCAACTTCAATCCCAAGAAAATACCGAAGATAACCCAAGTCTTTGGTGTGAAATTTTCGGCTTAAATACCATTTCAAATCAGCAATACCAATGGAGTCACTCCCAGAAATGATGATGTCATCCTCATAGACAATAAGAACAATACTTCCAGAAGATGAGTGGCAAACAAAGATAGAGTGATCAAAAGTGGAACGGCAAAATCCATAGGCAATGACAACAGCATTGAAGTGATCAAACTAGGCACAAGGAAACTGCTTGAGACCGTACAAAGCGTCCTGCAAGCGACAAACAAGTTGCTCTTGATCAGGCATAACATAGCCAGGGGGATGATCTATATAGACCTCCTCTTGGAGATCGCCATGCAGAAAGTCATTCTTGATATCAAGTTGATACAAAGGCCAAGAGTGACTAACTGCAACGGAGAGGAGGATTTGAATAGAGTTAAGATGGGCCACAGGAGAGAAAGTCTCTAGATAATCAACACCATAAGTTTGGGTGTAGCCTTTGGCGACCAAGCGAGCCTTAAGCCGCTCAATAGTCCCATCAGGAATATACTTAGCAGTATAAATCCAATGATAGCCCACAATAGATTTTCCAGAAGGGAGAGGGGTAAGTTCCCATGTCTGATTCTTATGCAGAGCATGCATTTCCTCATCTATGGCATGCTTCTAACCAAAGATAGACATAGCTTGCTGATATGAGTGGGGAATGGTAATACTAGACAAACTGCAGGCAAATGAGTAAAGACCAGCAGAGAGGCGATCATAAGAAACAAAATTAGTAATGGGATATTGAGCGCAAGTACGTTTACCTTTACAAATAGCTATAGAAAGGTCATTTGAAGAGACATCGGTGGATGGAACAGGAGAGAAGGAACCTTGAACGAAGGAGATGAATTGGTTGGGCCATAAGACAATGCGACGAGCTTGAGACCGCTAATAAACCTGCAATGGAGAGGTAGAGGTGAGATTGGACGAAGGTGGTATAGGAGCGGAGGAGGAAGGAACATAAGAAGAAGTAGGAGTGAGAGAGGCTGGCTCCCTCTCACGAGAAGAGAAAAGATCAGTGGATAGTCGTTGTCCGGAGGAGAAAAAAGGAGTGGACTCAAAAAAGGTAACATCAGCACCGACAAAGTAGCGACGTGACTCGAGATGATAACAACTATACTGTTTCTGAGTGCGAGAATAGCTTAAGAACACACACTTGCGTGCTTGAGGAGATAACATATCCAAACCTGGGTCGAGCACATGGACAAAGGCTACACAACCAAAAATCCAAGGAGGCAAGGGAAAAGAAGATGTTGTGGGATATTACAGAGAATAGAGAGGTGTGTACAACACTAGAGGGCATGCAATTGATAAGCAAACAAGTGGTGAGAACTACATCGCCCCAAAAGTATTTGGGAACATGCATATTAAACATCAATGTGTGAGCAACATCTAACAAATGGCGGTGTTTCCACTTTGCAACACCATTTTGAGGAGATGTATGAGAACAACTAGTCTGATGGATAATACCATAAGTATCACAAAAGGTAATCACAATAGATTGCACATATTGTGATCACTAACAATTAAAAAATGCTACAAAACTGTAGGTGAAAATCTGAAAAGAGAAAAATATAGTATCATCTGCAACCTGTAGATGAAAAACTGAAATCCTACCCCAACCTATCACAAAACCCTCCATTAAACCTACCTCATAAGACCAATTAACCAACCTCCCCAAAACATCAACTCTTTACGGTAAATAAAAATAGAGATAAAGAAGAATTATGCCTCAGACCCTTAGTAGTCTTAAAAACTATCACACACTTTACTATTCAATATTACTACAAAATTACTAGTGGACAAACAACCCTTGATCCACTTCCTCCATCTCTCACCAAATCATTTCTTTTGCATGACAAAATCCAAAAAAAAAAAAAAAAAAAAAAAACATGATTATATACTTTTTCAAAAGCAGTCTTAAAGATAACCCTCTCCTTGTTTGTAATCTGCTATGAAGCACCGACAGTTCAAAATAAGTGCCATACCCATGTAGGACATGGGGACATGGCGACATGGAAGGACATGCCATGTAATTAATTTTTTTTAAGGGACATACCCAATAGTTTTTCCCCCTCTTTCTTTAGTGCATTTAATGGATGTTGGATGTTGAATGTTTATTCATTTTTGCTTAGATTTAAATACTTAATAAATCATCCATAAAAAAGATATAAACAATAAGTGTTAATATAAAAGTGATTTTTTTAATATCAAATTAGTTTTAGTTTTTGTTAGTTTTAATTGTTTGTGGATGTAATATTAACCTACATAAGAAACAAAAATATATTAAAAAATATTTTATTGCCGTGTCCCCACCGTGTTTGTGTTCGTGTTCGTGTCCCCATTTTTCTAAAATCACCGTATCATGTGTCCCGTAGCTGTGTACGTGTTCGTGCTTCTTAGGTAATCTATACCCCTCAACCACCTCATTAGCTACCAAGATAACATCTAAAATTTAACACTCCTCAACAAAGGCACCTTGAGAAGAGAAATGAAATTCCCTAAAACCATATCTTAACGACACAGATAACACTTTTGCCAAACTTTATACAAATAAGTAACTAAACAAATACGTCAAAAGCCACCTAGTCTTAAAGAAATCTCTTCATTTGGAATCAAACATATAAATGTAGCATTTGTGCAAGTATCAACAATTCCTCTCTCAAAAAATTCATCAAAAACATTCAACAAATCAAAATTAACAATATCCCAACAAACGTAAAAAGTGATCATAAGAAAGCCATTAAGCCCTAGGGACCCATACCTTTTTACACTTGAAAATCAGCTTCCTATTTCCAATCCATCAAGAAACCTTTCAACCAACTACCTTCTCAGAATCAATGAGGGACCGTTCCAACCCTTTTAATCTCGACCTACTCACCCCTTCCTCAAAAGAATACAATCTGGAATAAACGGAAAAACCTCATTAATGATTTGATCTCCATTTGTAACCTTAGGAAATAATTTGAAATTATTATCCCATTCCTTAAGCCACATATTAAGATTTAGATTTTTTAGACAGAGAAATTTCTTTACCTAAAGACCACATTCTCAAATTTACTTTTGAAAACCTCTCTTCTTTCTAAGAGATTCAACAAGAGCCTCAATCCTCCATCGACTTCTAGTCGACCGGACGTCTCCTTTGAAGATATTTTCACCGACTTAGGTGACCTACCTGGCTCATATCCTGATAACATGGTTGGTGAGTTGCTTACTCAGTTGGCTAGGAGGAAAAATGCCGAGAGGATGGCTGCGCGCAAGAAAGTCGAAGCCAAATGATCTAAGCCTCCACCCCCTCCACCTGAAGTTAGGACTGAGTCTACTCCACCCGCTCTTGTTGGGGAGACGGCTCATGCTGCTATGGCCGAAATTGAGTTTCTTGTTGGTCAACTAGAGGGCCAGGTGTCGGAGCAACGAGGGGAAAAGCGTCCGGTCGAGATCGAAGATTATTCGGAAAACATGGTTGATAAATGGCCACGCATAGAAGAATCGGACATGGTTGTTCCGTTTACAATATAACCCAGGATCAAGAATGTGCCGATTGTTTCTGATGCATCGGCTGTGAAAGATGCTGGAGTGGCTTTGAGCTTGGCCTCCTCAATTTCATTGCCAGTTAACCGGGCGACCTTTCGGGCAGAGCCTGATCTGTTATCCATAGCATTAGCCGCTCAATCGGCGATATTGGTATGTGTCTTATTCCTTAGTTCTGTATCAAAAACTAAAATGTTTTGTATATCACCTATCTTATTGATTTAATGGTTTTGTAGGAGGCGGGGAGGATAACAGAGATTGGTCGTCGTTAACATGACGTAATCAAGTAGATCGGCATTCTGACAGCCAAAGTGGAAGCTGAAAAGAACAATGCAGCAGAGGCC